TAAAAGTATCTTGCCTGTCGTATTCAATGAAATGTTCATGAAATAAGGATTTCTGCCCAAATACACACACACACACACACACACACACACACACATACACACACATATATATATATATATATACTGAGCACGGCATAAGCCAAAAGGGTCAGGAAATAGCGAACTAAGAAGATTTTGCTACGATAATCTTCCAAAGATGTAGTGACATAAGCTTTGAAAATCAGCATTCAAGATTTTGTCATTTTACTTGGATTTGAACATCTATCTTTCTGTTGCGTTGTCATCTTTGGATTCTACTGATCTATCGGCAATTCCTCAATAATGACCCCAGCAAATTCAATCAACAACAGACAATTTTCTTCAGTTTTCTGAGCTTTAATTTCCTGTGTGTGTGTGGGGGGGGGACATAGTAGGTATCGTTTCTTGGAGGAATCGAGAGGAAGATGGAGATATCAACAGGTGGGCAAGCTAGATATACTCGCCATGTGATCACTTGTCATTCTTGCTGCAATCACGGGCATGTAAATCACTTCGAGCCAGAAAGGTATACACGCTCTGGCTTCACGGCTGCTGCAAACGAACTGTTTATTTTCGCACGTTTTCAGTTATATATCAAAACTTACATATATTCCAACACTGTCAACGATTCTATGACCACGGGTTTCAAAACTCTGTCATTCAGTTCGGGTCGTCAAAGTTCTGACCAGTATGGTAGGGTTTTCCATTTTCACCTAGAGTACGAATTCCATAACATTTGGTAGCGGTGGGTAGTATTTCAGCCAAAAGACAGGCCACATTTCTGTCCTGTTGATATTTATTAAGTTAATGAAAACATAAAATAAAGATTATACTGCGCCAGGAGAGAGGGTCTTCTTTGAAATACAGCTTTTGAAATCCAGGCAACGGCGACAAATACGGAATTCTTTTAGTTAGTTGCAGTCAGGCAGGCAAGCCACGAAATAGACGTCTTTACAATTTATACACACAAAGCTATTCTTTTACAGATGTGTGCGAAATTGTAAAAATAGAAACCGATAGAGAGAAAAACAGATAGATAGATAGATAGAGAGAGAGAGAGAGAGAGAGAGAGAGAGACAAATATACAACACATAGATAGATAGATAGATAGATAGATAGATAGATAGATAGGAAGAGACAAATATACAACACATAGATAGATAGATAGATAGATAGATAGATAGATAGATAGGAAGAGATAAATATACAACAGATAGATAGATAGATAGATAGATAGATAGATAGATAGATAGATGTGGGAAGAGGATGAAGAAGACAAAATTTGGATGGAGGGACAGAGAAAATACATTTTTTCTTGGAGTAGGGAAAAATATGAGCGACGGGGACAGAAGAAAAACGAAGCGCGCATATTTTTGTCACACTTGGTTTAACATCCAATTGGAAACTTCGCCAACGATTTTGTCCAAGCCGACCAACCCCGATCGACTGCTAGCTCTCTCCTTTCGTCATTGCTTTCGAAATGTTTTCATGAATTTTTAGACGAACAGCCTATCTCGCCTTTCCCAACCATATTCGCATCGACGTGCCAGTGCATACATGCATTTCACACTTAAACGCGTACACGTACATATATAGAAAACATAGATGTGTATTCATGTGTACGTTTATAACACAAATATAAAATTAATCCATGTATCTGTGAGAATTCATCTATCTCTCGTAACACACACACAGACGCCCGCACACACGAATACACACATACACACACACATACACACACACACACATAGATAATTTATTCGAAAATTATAACATATGTTATAAAAACACTACAAAAATAGCCATTTTGTTTCAATACTTCTGGTGTCTTATCAAGTGATGATGTTCAACACCATCACTTGATAAAACACGAGAAGTATTGAAACAAAATCGCTATTTTTTTTTCAACACCATCACTTGTTAAAACACGAGAAGTATTGAAACAAAATCGCTATTTTTCTTCAACACCATCACTTGATAAAACACCAGAAATATTGAAACAAAATGGCTATTATTTCTTCAACACCATCACTTGATAAAACACCAGAAGTATTGAAATAAAATGACTATTTTTCTAGTGATTTTATAACATATTTATGTTAATACTTGGATATTATATATATATATATATATATATATATATATATACTGCCTACTCCAGCTTGGTAATTTATGTCTTTGTATAAGTTGGTTGGTAAAAGATTTTCTTATTAACTTCTTCGTTTGATATTGCCGACGATTTTGCTTCTGAAGAAGTGACAGCCGAAATGTGATTTAAATCTTAAGGTGACACTTTTGTATCTATTTTAACAATGAAATTATGATCCTTGTCCTTAAAACTATTTTGTCCTAGTGAGGCAATGATATATATGAATTGAACCCTTTGGTAGTAATACTGATGTGTTAAAAATTCCGCTGATGGCCTCGAGGTAAGAGTCTCCGACTGATGTCAAATTGATCGGGTTTCGATCCCGGCTTGAAGCAATCGCATCGCATGTCTAGCGAAAATGATGAGCTGTGATACAACGAATCTGTCTATCTGTGGTGGCTAACTATATATATATATATATATATATATATATATATATATATATATATATATATATATATAGTGTAATCCGGATATAAGAGAAATTTTCTCTGGTCCCAAATTCGAGCCTATGTTAATGTATATAAAATAGACCAAACCCGGATATAAGAGACTTCTCCGGTCCCGACAACTCTCTTATATCCGGGTTACACTATATATATATCATAATATTGGAGGTCATCTACATTAAAACGAAACAACCCACACTCAACAAAATTACATTTCAAACTTGACACAACACATTACATTGCATCTAGATGCATGGTTCTGTTGTAATATTTCGGCCTCTCGCGTGGTATGACGTCATAGAATCGCATCTTGAACTTACGACATGCGTCTGCTATTTAGTGACCTTTATCGTCGCATAGCAATCTTCTATTTCAAAATAACAAAAAAGATGGTGAATATCTTTGTTTCAATGTCCGTATAACCACTTTGAAGATGACTCCATGTCAGAAGAAAGCTTAGGACTAACTTAAATAAAAAGAAAACAAATGTTGGATAATATTTTTTGTTTTTTCACCAGAAATTAAAGCGAACTTTAGAAAGGCTCATGATCAGACATAATAGACATTCATTGACTGCTATATTTAATAATATATGTTTTAAATATATAATATATATATATATATATATATATATATATATATATATATATATATATATATATATATATATATATATATATATATATATATATATATATATATATATATATATATATATATATATATATATATATATATACATATATATATATATATATATATATATATATATATATATATATATATATATATATATATATATATATATATATATATATATATATATATATATATATATATACATATATATATATATATATATATATATATATATATATATATATATATATATATATACATATATATATATATATATATATATATATATATATATATATATATATATATATATATATATATATACATATATATATATATATATATATATACATATACACACATACACACATATATATACATATATATATATATATATATACATATATATACATACATATATATACATATATATACATACACACACACACACACACACATATATATATATATATATATATATATAAAGACCAAACTAAAACTAAAGCATAAGACAAATACTAGTCGATAATACCACAATACTATATAGCTCTCATTGCAAGTAAAGACTCAACATGCTCGAAGCTCTTATTACACAAAAGAAGAAAAATACTCAGTAAATAAATTATTAGAAGCAGAGTTTGATATTTTATACTGCGTGAAATGTTTAATACGCGCATAAAATAATGATGCATAAAGATTTACTACATGCTTTTCCAGTGCTGTGTAGTTTTATTCAATTATTACAGATTACGCCACTTTCGACTAATTCGTAATTCAGCGCTCTAAAATAATTCATCCCCGTATGTAGCTAACAAAATTTTGTCGACCAAAATGAGAACACACAATTCTTAATAATGACTGACTCATGTTGCGTGGCACGTTTTCTTTCGTACCACTTTCGATCACTAGGCCGGTAGACATTAATTGCACTGTTTAAAAAACCATATCTCTAACTCAAACACGTGTACCAACTAAATATAACTTTTATAGTAATAAGGAATATACATGTATGCTTATATATATATATATTCATCGATATGCATTTGTGTGTGTCTGTGTGTGTGTGTTTACGCTGACCGCTCAATCGTCAAGGATTCTCTGTTCACATTTGTCTTTTAATTGTTTTGATTAAATCTTGTGATTGTTCTTTTTAATCTATTAAAGGGATTTTTAATTTTCCTCTTTCAATTGAATTTAATCTTTTTTATTTGTTTTTATTCAATATATAAAGGATCAGCGAATCCCTCCCCAAGTATCTCAGCAAAAGGAACTCATTTTTTTCTTTCTCCTTCCTTTTTTTTTGTTTTTTTCTTTCTTCAGCTTTTTGTTCTTTGCCTGTGTTTTCTTTTCCTTCATTCATTAATTCAAATTCCCTTCTCTTTTTTTTTTAAAGAAAATAAGGAATCTCTTTTTCTTTCCTTATATTGATATTCATATTTTTCTTTCCTTTTTATCTATCTTCCTTCGTTTCATTTTATATTCCTCGCTTTTTTCCTTCCTCCCTCCCCGTTCCACAGTTTCATCCTTCGTTCCTTCCTCTTTTACATATCTCCTTTCGTTTTTTCTTTGTTTTTTTTCTTTTTTTTTCTTTTTTTTTCTTTTTTGTTTTTCTTTCTTTTCGCTTTTTCTTTCTTTCTTCATTCCTTTTTATATTCGTTCATTTTTTATAGCTATTCTTTCCTTTTATATGACTTCTTTTCTTCATTCATTTTTATAATCCTTCTTTCTTCAGTTACTTACTATTTATGTCACGCTTTTTTATATATAATCCCCTACATTCTCCTTTCCTTCCATCCTTCCTCCCTTCCTTCCTTCCTTCCTCCCTTCCTTCCTTCCTTCCTCCCTTCCTTCCTTCCTTCATTCCTTCCTTCCTCCCTTCCTTCCTTCCTTCCTTCATTCCTTCCTTCAGTCCTTCCTTCATTTCTTCCTTCTTTCCTTCCTGCCTTCATTCATTCATTCTTTCCTTCCTTCCTCCCTTCCTTCCTTCCTTTCTTCCTTCCTTCCTCCCTTCCTTCCATCATTCCTTCTTTCCTTCCTTCCTTCCTTATTCATTCATTCATTCCTTCCTTCCTCCCTTCCTTCCTTCCTTCATTCATTCATTCCTTCCTTCATTCCATCCTTTCTTCCTTCCTTCCTTCCTTCCTTCATTCCTTATTTCCTTCCTTCCTTCCTTCATTCCTTCCTTCCTTCATTCATTCATTCATACCTTCCTTCCTCCCTTCTTTCCTTTCTTCCTTCCTTCCTTCCCCCTTCCTTCCTTCCTTCATTCATTCATTCCTTCCTTCCTTCATTCCTTCCTTCATTCCTTTCTTCCTTCCTTCCTTCATTCATTCATTCATTCCTTCCTTCTTCCCTTCTTTCCTTTCTTCCTTCCTTCCTTCCTTCCTCCTTCCTTCCTTATTTCCTTCCTTCCTTCATTTATTCATTCCTTCCTTCCTCCTTTCCTTCCTTCCTTCCTCCTTTCCCTTCCTTCCTTCCTTCCTTCCTTCCTTCCTTCCTTCCTTCCTTCATTCATTCATTTCTTCCTTCCTTCCTTCCTCCCTTCCTTCCTTTCTTCCTTCATTCCTTCCTTCCTTCCTTCATTCCTTCCTTCCTTTCTTCCTTCCTTCCTTCCTTCATTCATTCATTCATTCCTCCCTTCCTTCCTTCGTCCCTTCCTTCAGAATTTATTTAAGTACTTATACATATCTCCTTTCTTTCGTTAGTTTACACACACGCACACGTGTGTGTGTGTGTGCGCGCGCGCCCGTGTGTGTGCGTGTGTGAATGTGTGTTTAATGAATATATATATGTGGTGGGGTTGTGTATGTGCATACACGTCTATGTGTGTGTAAAGTAAAGAATTTATGTACATGTGTGTAAAGTAAAAAATAATATATATATATGTTCGTGTGTGTAAAGGTATATATATATATATATATATATATATATATATATATATATATATATGGGGTGTGTGTGTGTGTGTGTGTGTGTGTGTGTATGCGTAAAGGTTTATATATATGTGTGTAAAATGAAGAAGGTTTTGTGTGCTTATATATATATATATATATATATATATATATATATATCCCTGCCTTTCTTTTCATATCCCTTCCATTTTTATTTATTTTTTTATTTTATTGCTTTCTTTTTTTTATGCTTCTCCCGTCTCCTCCGCTCTTTCATTATTATTTACCCCCTTTCTCCACGCTTGCTTCCCCCAAAACCTGCTCGTTTATTCCTGAAAATCTATTTTGAATATTTTATTGCCAATTCTATCAGCGTTTGTGAAAATAGCAAAAAGGGCTTCAAAGATGTTTGATATCAGCTTTATTATTGCAATGCAAACGCGAGAGAAAGAAAGAAGTCGATTTCTAATAGGCAGACACACGCAGTGATGTCTACAAATGCGCTATAATTTCGATAAAAGATCTATAAGTAGAATTAGTGTACAAACAAATGTCTAAGAGCAGACAGATAAATATGAACAAAATAAGATAGATAAATAGATAGATAGATAGATAGATAGATAGATAGATAGGTAGGTAGGTAGGTAGATATGAAAAGAATGAGATATATATAGATAGATAGATAAGAACAGAATGAGATAGATATTAAATTGTTAAGTATACATATAAATATAAATAGATAGATAAATCGGTTTGTCTATCTTTTTCTCTCCCTGCTCTCTCTCTCTCTGCATATATATATATATATATATATATATATACACACACACCCATATATATATATATATATATATATATATATATATATATATATATATATATATATATATATATGGGTTTCAATCTAGCTAGAGGCAATTAGATGTCTAGCCACACTGATGAGCTGTGATGCAGCGAAACAGTCTGACTGTGAATGACAAATAAAATAGTAAAAAATAAGAACTAATGCAACAGAAATTTATAAAAACAAGGATTTTTTCATTCATAACAGGTTCGGGGTTTTTGTATATTATTTGAATTGTTTTCGACGATGGATTTCTCGCCAATTAAACCATTAACCTTTGTATTTGTTTTTGTATGAATAATTCATGAATTTTTAAACTGATTGCACCTTTATTGAAATTAAAATAACTGATCCAAGTGCAACTTTTGGATAATAAGTGCGACATTACTGTAATTATTGAACAATATAGTTCATGCCACTTTGACAGAAAATTTACCAGTAAAAAAGAATTCGCTTATCACCATATTTGTACAAGAACGCACAATTGTAAAATTTAAAATCAAACTCAGCGTTGCTACTGCACGCTCCAAAAACAATAACTCATTTCTAATAGCATTTTTCGGATACAACAATACATATATTTTCGCTGTCCTCTTATTACTGAGAGAAAAAACAAGAACAACATCTATTCCATACCTGAAGATGTCTGTAGGAGCAAACGAAAGCTTGAAGTAAAAATAAGAACTAATGCGGCAAAAATTTATAAAAACAAGGATTTTTTCATTCATAACAGGTTCGGGGTTTTTGTATATTATTTGAATTGTTTGCGACGATGGATTTCTCGCCAATTAAATCATTAACCTTTGTATTTGTTTTTGTATGAATAATTCATGAATTTGTAAATATATATATATGTGTGTGTGTGTGTGTGTGTGTGTGTGTGTGTGTGTGTGTGTGTTTACACACCAGGTGGTTGACGTAGGTCCAGTCCCGACCACCGAGTTGGGAAGCATGTGATCTCAAGAATGAACCCGATTTGCAGGGAAAGATTTTATAATACAAGTGGTTATATAAGCAATCGCCCAATGATTATCCGGGCAGTCTCTCACACATCGCAGGTAAAATATAAGGTCCATGTACCGAACTTTAGCCGTGAGGGGCGGGGTCGTTTCGCATTCAAACAAGCCGAGAGTTACTGACGAAATATTGGAGAAGATAAAATGTTATGTAATGAAAATTCAACTCTTGTCCTCTCACTTAACTGTCACCCCCGCTTCATTACATTAAACAATATGAAGAGGCATATTCCCTTTAACAAGACTTTCGATCAATATTTAGTTGATTGATTGATCGATGCATTTTTTACGTCTATGCAGGTTATTTAAAGCCAGAAAATATAATGATTTATTTTGGAGTTAATATTGCTTTAGAGATACAGGTCTTATTATTTAACCCATATTTGGGGAGTGAAGAGGTGGATTCACATATTTCCCAATGGTATTTGCGCGTAAGTGAATATAAAGAACCCAACAGGAATTGGAAAGCGGTTCTCCGATTAACAATTCCGAGCCTTTATCCATCACACCACCTGTACATCTAGCACTTGGTATTCCTATGCAGCTACCCATCTGGGTACTGACCAGTTTCGACGTTGCTTAATTTCGGTAATCGTACGGGAAGCGGTGTTTCAACGTCATGTGTCCGTAAACCAGATCCATGTTTAGAAAAAAAGATGAGCTATCTTATTTAAAAATGTATACACAGTAAATATTTATAAATATTTATCGTAATTAAAAAGCAATTAAGATTTCAGATACAGTGAGCTATGATAAATTTTTAACCACTTTTGATTACAGCAATTTTGGTTTGTGTAATAAAGTCTCTTCTTTTTTTTCAGACAATACCGTATTAGTATCAAGCGACTCTCATTTATGAACGATAGTTGATATATAGTTCAATAAAAGTTCGCGGAAGTAATTGGTAAATTTCAACGAGAGCAAATAATAGGATGGCATCAGTGTGACAAGTCAAATAAGGAAATTGCTAGGCTTTTCCAGGTTAATCATCAAACGGTTAATAATATTGTCAAGAAATTTAATGAAGAACACCATTGTTGGAAAAAAACGTTCAGAAAGTCCAAGCATCGTGTCTGAACGAACGAAATGGGCGCTTAAGAGGGAAGTCATCTGAAACCGTTATCAGAGCGTCAAAGAGCGTCAACAGGTTGAGACGAGATTAGGTCAATCAGTTAAGTTAAAGTCTACCCTGTATAAACCCAACTTGACAAGGAAACAGAACATTGGTGTGGCTGTGGCTCCATGTAACGAAAGGGAGAATCAGCTACCTCGAAAAGGGGTTAGTTTTTTTCTGGGTGGTCCGCAAAAGGAAATTGTTAGCAAAAAAACTGACATTTTAAGGATCAGAAGAACAATGCTAATGTTCTTTCTTACCCAACTGGTGTGGCCAATCGGATAAATTGCTACGTGAATAAAAGCCGTTGCTTTGATTGACGTAAGGGAGAACGAATTTTGAGTTTAGTGAGCGAAAAAAATGCGGTTCCTACATTGCGAGCGGAAGATTGGATTTTTGATCCCCCAGTTTCGGTATAAATTTGCCAGCTGGACTGTTGTTTTTAAACACTGATTTTTGATTGAATTTATTCTTGGCACACAATTTTTTTTTTACTGACCCCATTGATTAATACTCCATTCTCCACTGCTTGTATGCAATCAGTCTTTTGCAGCTAGCTACCTCACGTGACTCCATTCATGTGAAGTCGGCCAAATAGTTACGAAATTATTGCTCATACAAATTAGACTCAATAGATAAAAACATTTGAAAATTGGTTGTCGGAAATCCTGATTGTCGCCCACAGGGCGTGTCCATACGATGTGTTGACCTGTCGAATGTAGCGATTACGTAACCAACCCAAATGTTCCTTACTCAAATCTTTGTCAATATTCATAGCTTTGGATCACATTCTTTTCAAACTAGCCTCATCTAAGTCGTCTCAGTAGCGCTCGCTGACCGATAGCTATAGGTCCTTCCTGGCTAGCTCTATTATTAGAGATTCCCATTCTGGATAATTTATTGATTGTTTTGTTTTTTACGACTTATCAACCTTTTGCAGGTTATTTAAAGCTAGAAAACATTTTTAGATTGTAAGAATTTTTTAGACATAATAGTGATTTTTACCGATAGCTGGTGGTAGAAACGAGGTGGACTACCAATGGTTGGACAATTTGTGTTTTAGGGCTACTTCCGTCTACACCTTATCCAAAGCGAATTGTTTGTTATATATCCTATAGATTAGCCTAATCTCATCTTAAAGAGCAGTCAGTCGATTATTTGCTATAATATCCCCGGTTAATTTGTACTGAATAATTACTTTTCTATGAATCGAATTCGTCCAGCAAGCACACAGTTATCTTTCCTTGCCCAGACATTCTTAATTTGCTTTCTAGTTGTATTTGGATCACCTTCATTTTACAGTCATTGTTACAGTCCGAATATCCGAACCAGACTAGCTTCAATAATAAACAGCTTAACCCAGAAGTTTTCAAACTTTCTAAGCTTTCCTCAATATGTCGCCTTATGCTGAAGGAGAGGGACACCATAAAAATGATATTTTTGTTGATACCGAAAACAAATACTACAATTTGATTATAAATAAAATGCAGAGAATGGGACCGCAAACACAGATAGTGTCTTCAAACTAAAACATTTTATTTCCTGTACAATCAGTCCGTTATGTTCGATGCGAGATACACGCTTAGGCGATCATGTATCTTTCGATACATGAATGATGAGACAATTTTTTTTTCCCACAGTAGGTTGCCATTTCTTTCTGCGGTAGACCAGTTGCCATCCAAGGCTATAGAACCCGGTCTGTCCTGCTATTTACCTACAGCTGGGTGGAGAAGAAAAGGATTCATACCTTTCCTAAGGGTATTAGCACGTAAGTGAATGTAATGGATCTGACCGAAATTCGAACTCGGCTCTCCGATTCCTCAATCCGAGACGCTATTCA